CTAATATTTTAAATTTTGTAGTTTAGCGATGAGGAAATAATTTTGGCCTGAATATGATTAGACTTTACAACTGATAAAAGAAAGAAAGCAAATCGAGGCACCATATGGCTTAGAACGCCCATATACATCATCTTTATTGAGCAGTTACAAGCGATTCAATTTTTGTATTCAACCGAATAAAATAGGAGTAAATTTCGAAGTAATAACTACTGACAAATTACAGCAAAGTCTCCACGGATTTTTATAGACGCACAAAATTTTAACTCTTTCATTGTTTCTCGATATCAACGTTTGAGGGGAAAATTCGACGTTTTGTTTGCTTATTGATTAGTGGTCACGAACTATTCTGTTGATCGTTTTCTGTCCCTAGCTGAACAAAATTTGAGTGAGGTCTTTTTCGTGAAAAAAATACATTCGAATAAATGTTGATAAACTATTTCAAAAGATAGAAACCGTTAAGAGAAATTAGCCACTCTTGAAATTCAATTTTTTCATTGCCCACGATCCATTGGTATAAAATTAGACTATTCAATGCATTCTATTATAGAGTCGATAACGATTGATTCTCACTATTATGTGGTCCCAGAAGAAAGTGTTAAGTATTTATTTTTTTAGTTGATTTGCTTATCAATTAAAACCTCTTCCATTTTATCATCAAATGATCACAAAAGATCTAAGAAAAAAAAGTTGAACAGCATGTCTTTACTTTTACATAGTGATAATATTTTCATATAATATTTAAAAATATGTATGTTGAGGTCTTAGCATAGAAATTATTTACATAAAAATGTACTATGATGTAGTTTTTCTGCATTTATATAATATAGACAAAATAGTGAGGAATCGATCGTTCTCGGAGCTATAATAGAATGCATTTAATGGCCTAAGTTGATACGAATTGACTGCTGACAATGAAAATGATCAAATGGACAATGAGAAATTGAATTTCAGGAGGCAGTTGGTTTCCATTCTTCACAACTTCTTTTCTTTAGGCCAAGGCAAGTAAATCACTGTTTGTAATAATGCTTTCTCCACTTCTTGTGCCAAAGTCACATTATTTGACTCTAGAAAAAAAATCTGAACGCCTTTTAGTCTCCGCATTTCCTATATCAATGATAGGAAATATTTAGATATTTGAAGCTGATTAAGATTCATCTGTTCTAAAAGTATCAGGATTGTTTTACACTTCAATTGTTCTTAGGAAACCTAGGGAAGTGTAACTCTGTTTTGAAAAGGATTTTGCTATTGTAAAGAAGCTGGAAAATAATAGAAATAGTTGAAGTAGTGTTGGTGTCAGAGAAAACAAACCTATGCGATTCCAGATGTGTGAACTCATGTGTACTGTGTGTGACGCAGTAGGTGTTACGACAGACATTCTATACGCGTACGGCACTGCTATCGACGCTATTTCAGTTTGTGGTACATCGAACGCATGAATAAGATAATGTAGACAGCCCGGATGAGTTGGCTCGCGTTCGATAGCCGCTAACAAGATGTTTCTCGCCTGCAACATAGTAGATGTCTCTGTCGTTTGCGCTTCGGAAAGTCCGTTATTTGCTTCATTAAGATAAGCAAGACCAAGCAATGTTTGAGCGTCGTTATCCAACGGATATTGTCTTGTTAGATTGAGCATCGAAGTAAGAAAAGCCTTTTCTCCATCTCGAACATTTTCATAAGCGAACAATTGAAAAATGGCATTAAAATAAGCTGATTGAAGGGGTGTCAGCGTTATATTATGTTCATTGAATGTTGACCAGCTATCATTCCATGCTTGAAGAGCACCTTTTCGGTCTGTATATCCCCATAATACATGCTTATACCTATAAGAAAGAATAGTACGTAATTTGGTACGAATATATTTATTGCAGCAATGAGTCTTGGTAAGACAGTGCTGTTACCTTTCAACTATTATATTTAATAATCATGAGACTATTTTTTCACTCAAATGTAATCCATCACAAGTAAATACTGTTTCTCTTGATATTATTTTGATAAAAGAAAGGATATTAATGTTTAATTATCTGTTTCTCTCAGCTAATGAACTCCGAATAAAATTTAATTGATCAAAAAGTTTTGAATAGGATATCTTTCAAAGAGAAACATGTCATTTTATCTTACGGTTTTATCTGCTGATTTAGTATAGTCAACTAGGTTTGTAAAAATGAATCACCTGCATACATTAAAATTTTCACAAGTTTTGGATGTCTTGCTCTTTAATTTTTTAATTGTTAGACAATTTCGTCTTGGTTGATTTTTTAGCGACTCCGACCGAATTCGATCATCTCTAATTGTGAAAACCTTTCAAAACAAAAAAGATTGAATTTCAGCATGAAAATATTTTTCAATGTTGTTATAGACTCGTCGATAGACATGATGTGATTCAAATACCTTCGTTGGTGCATATACGTACCCGAACAGCCTTCCAATATGAGGCTCAACAAATGTTGGATCGGTCTTGATAGCCAGATGAAATGCATCTTGCGCAAATTCGTACAAAAATGTGTGTAGACATAAGTGACCAATAACAAAATGTTGATGAGCTATCGATGTTTTATTGACGATCAAGCCTAGAGGACGTTCAATCGAGACTGTATTGAGATAGGCTTCCCAAGGTTGAAAATCACTGGTGCTCACTAATGTGAGAATAACCAATATGAAGCAAAGAAAAAATTGCAGTGACAGCATATTTTTGTTGTCTTCAAATCTTTTTCTAAAGACCAGATAAATTCAATGACAATAATAACATCAGTTGACGACGATAATATCTACCTTCAATGAATGATTGTATGCACGCCTACTCTCTCTCGTTCTCACTATTTGATGAAAAGATAGTATCACACTTGATTTCACAACATAAGGTAAAGAAAAATAAGCGATACAAATGAAATGAATGATAGCTATTTTAACAGTAACCAATACGACTTGTTTAGTCGTCTAAGTCTTCAAAGAAACTAATTTACTACTAATAGTGAAATGAATAAGATGTTAATGTTGTATGAAACAATGATGAAAATTGATTTTTTGATTGTCGTTTGTTTGCTGCTTAACTACTGATTGATGATTCATTTATTGCTTCAGCTACTTCATCATTAGTAGAAACCTTCACTATGGTTATTTTTGTTCTCTTCCTTTTTTGCTCTATATCAATAATACGAGAGGACGAAAAAGAACACGTATACGAGTTTTTACTATATATGATGAAATAGTGAAAAAATCCAATATAACACGAAATATTATGCTAAACAACTAATTCCATTCAATATATCAATCTTTTTCAAAACAAATAAATAATGATAGAATATTTATTAAAAAAAAATATTTCTAGTAATAAATACTACACTATTCCTTTTCTGCTATTATTTTTCTTTACTATCACGTAATCGAATGTATTCTACCAGTGCGATTGTACTCTATTAAGGGTGTTACTCCTATATTAAAATAGCAGCTACTAGATAATTGATGAGAACGACATGAACAAAAGTTTTAATAAGTCAGAAGCAGAAAGTAATATAGAGTTAGGAAAAATTCCTGTGTTTTTAGAGTAATGCTCTTCTCAACCAATTAAATTATTTTATTTGAATTTAAGAATTTTATCTCAATCAACTTCACCATTCTTTTCTTTATGTTCATAATGAAAAACATATATCATTCCCTCTATAAATAAATTAATATATGAGAATACTAACTCAAGTATAGAACGATTGAAAGCAAATAAATATAAACCAAAAAAAAAAGAAATTTTTTATTAGAAATCACTGAATAACTTGATATTTTTCACAAACAGAACGAAAAGGATTTTATCAACTTTATTGGGATCTAATAGTGTTCGATATTACGGTTACAGTGCTTTACCATTGACAAAACAGAAAAAAATTTTTTTTTTCTTGCTTATTTCGCTCGTATGAGTGAGAAAGACGTCGTTATCAAAGTTGGTTGTATATTCTTCAAGAAAAAAAGAATTTTTTTTTGTAAAAGATGCTTGTTCCATGGGATGCATGGGATGAGATGAAAAATTTTTTGTCCCATGGAATGGGATCAGATGATAAGTTTTTTATCCCATGCAACGGGGTGATCCTCAAATTTTTGGCAAGTAAAATTCGTATTTGCTCAATAAATAAATTGACTGCTAAGTAAAAATATTGAACACTCAGTTACTTTATAGATTATCGGTAATAAAAATATTTGCTAGGTTTGATAATTAATATCTAAGTAAAGTTTTTTTTGCTAAGTTAATAAATTGAAACCATAGTTATAAAATAAAATCGCTAAGCAAAAATTACTGCTACTAAGTCATTTTTAATAAAGACTAAATACAATATAGCGCTCATCATACGGATTCGCTGACCCTTTTCTAAAAGAAAACGTCGCATGTTTCTAGAGAATTTTTCGACAAAAACATTTTCAATTGTAGTTTATACATCAGATGGTTTTTTTGAATAATTTTGTAGTCTGTTTCTGAGTCAAGATAAGTGAATAGCACTGCCAGTTTTATACCTCAATTTTCGGTATGTATGTAAGCAAGGGGAAGAAGCGTGTTTCTGAATTTTTATATATTTCCAAGTATTTCTATGTATTTCGAGATACATTGAAATATATTAGAAACATATAGAAATACCTTAGAAACACTTGCAAATACTTCGAAATACGAAAATACAGAAATACTCTTTTTCTTCTTAGGTGTAGGTGTACGCGGAGACACAGAGAAGAGGGTGGGTGTGGGTGTTTGAAGAGATTATTCACACCCACCCACACCCTGAAAATTTACATGTATGAGAGAAATTTGACTTTGGTTCTAGCTTCTCTCCTGAAGAAGTAAAAGGTAAAATACGAGATATAGCAGAAAAAGAACCGAAATTGGCCTCTGATCTCTAAATATCAGACAAAATCATTGTGTAAAGCTAATTTTCTATTCATCTTCAATTATAACATATAGTATTACGTATATATTGTGCGTTTCTGAGAAGTCCTTAGGTTCTGAGGGCTAAATAGGAGGCCCAAAGTTGACATTTTAGCTGGAAAGGTCAACTTGAAAATGGAAGCTTTTCTAGCTAAGAAAATATTTTAGGACTTTATAATAACGATATTCTTAATCAGCATACTTGATTCTATAAATCAGAATACATCTCGCTTGGATCTCGAAAAAAAAAATTTTTTCGACATCCCCGTGGGGAACCACAGGTCTCAAAATTTTTTTTTCAAGCAATTTGGAAAAAAACCTCTAAAATATAATCAGAGTTCATACCTAAGTTTATTCCAATAAAAATTACACGATTTCGTTGGGAGCAAAAAAAAGGCCTTGTCTGCCCTCGTCCTTTGCACGCCAGTTTCTTTTTTTCAATGATTTTTTTTCTTTAAACTGTTCTTCAAATGCCGGCATCATTTCTTTTTCCTTTCTGTTCCTTACGATGCAAAACGACAAGTGGTAATTTTTTTTCTTTCTTCTCTCATGTAAGTGAGAGTGGCAAAACATTTTTACAAAGAAAAATACAACGGTAAGTATCAACAAACATATATACTATTTCTTTCTTCTTTTTGTCACCGAAATACCATTTCTCTTCGAACATACGAGTTTCAGTACTATGTCATGACATTGATTGGTTATCTTTCAGTAAAAAAAAAAGCAACACGCGCGTGAATTTCATTCTTTTATTTGTAGTTAATCAATACAAGATCATTCTGTCTATTACATGACTTGTTGTAGTGAGCAATAGTGTCGAAGTGTCGTCCGTGGAAGAGTATAGTCTCATGACGCCGATTGAAATTACAGATAAATAAACTTCTAATTTTTTAGTCGCGTAAAATATTGAGCAGTCCTTCCAAAAAACCCCAGAAATTCTAGAAGGCGTAAGTTATGCAAAATTCATGAAGTTGTTGTTCTTATCCATGTGATGGCAAAGTCCGCTTCGCAGGAAATTCAAAAAAATGATTATAGGAGAAATTTTATGGAAATTTAACTAAATATTTTAAAGGCAATCATAGCAAACTCACGTTATAAAAAGGAATATCAAAAAAAGTTTAAGTTTAAGTTAGAGTTTGGTCGGGTTGGGTTGGATTGGGATGGGTTGGAATGGGTTGGGTTGGATTGGGTTGAGTTGGGTGTGGGTATGGGTGTGGGTGTGAGTGTGGATGTGGGGTGTGGGTGTGGATGTGGGGTGTGGGGTGTGGGTGTGGATGTGGGGTGTGGGTGTGGGGTGTGACTTAAAAGAAAACAACATCCACACCCACACCCACACCCACCCACACCCACACCCACCCACACCCACACCCACCCACACTCACACCCACACCCACACCCACCCACACCCACACCCACACCCACTATTTGGCGAACATTGATCGTATTGAGCCATACCGTGGCATAATTGAGATTAGACTTGAATTATCAATATACTAAATTAAAAACAGAACAAAAGATACAAATGAAATCAAATCTTCCAAGCTTCAAAGAAAGACTTGTCGAAGTTACATGAATAGAAAAATTATAAATTTTACAATTATTCACTTAGAACAAATAGAAAGCAGAAGACCGTTTTTACAAACCATCGTTTGAATTGGAATGAAATACAATGATGACAAGAATTGTTTTTATATCTATAGTGAGCAGGCAACCTTTTTTTACATTCGTCCATAATGAAAAATACGACTTAATCCTTGAATTATTAGAAATTCGATATTCATGTTAGACTTTTTTCAAAAAAAAGATTTAATGTTTTTCGTAAAACTAATTCTTGTAGAAGAGAAAAGTGCCATCAAAAATAAAGAGAGATCCAAAACTTTGCGTCCGAACTCAATTAATTGCAGTTGTTCAGATCTGAAACTAGACTAAAATAATCTAAACTATGTGTGCATAACCTTCCCTAAATTTAAAACTTCCGATAAAGGTACGAATCCTATCCGATGGGACTGCCGGCTACATCCAAACCCTTATTTATCGTTTTTACACATTACACTTCTAATACCAACGCAATTGATTAAGTTTTCAATTAGAAGCAAAACCATTCCTAGATAATAGGTAAAGTATAATTTCAATTGAATGCAGTTTTCTAAAAGACAAAGTGCTATGAAAATATGAACGCTATAAACTGGTAAGTAGAGTTTAAAATTGATTTTCAATTAAATATGAAATAATCTTTGTGCTACTAATTACTTCGCCTATCCAAATAATAAAAATGACTCAAGTTACACTTATTTGAAATCCTTACTTACTTTTTATTGTCTTCAATGGTGCAGCTTTTTCTATGCGTAATGTATTTGGGTGTGGTTGTGGCTCTCCTCTTTATCTAAACCCACACTCACACACACACATATCTACACCTTTGTTTTTTATTATTTTTTGTCTTAGTAATTATAGTTTACATTCAATTATTGAAAAACAAATCCATATATAATGTTTTATCTCGTTTGTTTTTATTTAAAACTAAAAATTGTGATGATCAAACGATTTATATCTTATTCAATAAAGAACTTAACCGTATTGTAATACATCATATTAAATGATTCTCTTGATTGATTTTACTTTTAGATAATATATCGATTAATTACTTTCATATCAATTAACACAATACTAACTAATTTTTTCATGATGATAACTGAATACTTGCCCACATTTAATCTATCTAGATGAATATTAAACCTACAAAAATTTTATAAAAGTTTACATATATTAATAAAATAGAGCTGAAAAAGAAAAAAAAAATTCTAGTCCACTTTTGAATAGTCGATTTCATTGGAAATGCAAATATTTTTTCAATCACTTATTTCATATTAGAAAAAAAAAACTTTTATCATGAAATATGAGTATATATAACTGTTGATGAATCGAAGATCATATTTATTTATATTTATCTCTGACAGAAATCAATATTGATAGAATTTATTAGAAATATCAACTATAGTGCTTATTATTGTTCTTGTAGATTCTTATGAATTTCTATCAGATAGAAACCGACAACAAAAGAACATAAAAATTATAAGAACAATCGAAAAGTGCGATGTCACAATCGATGTTGATGAAAAATAATCCATAGTTGTTGTTGAATATTTATGTGATAAGATTTTCATTTTCTTTTGTGATTTCTCAAATGAATTATCTAATATTTGTTTCATTTTATTTCGAATATGTAACCAATGAATAATACGGTTGAAAATATTGAAAAAGCTTGTAGTTTTATTCCAAACATTATTAAATGATAATTCACCATTACAGTTGAATGATGTACAAAAATATTCAAGACCATCGCAATACAATGGTTGGAATTCGACGCTCTCCATTTTTACGGTTAATGTCGCATTTATCCTCGAGATATCATTATCGCAATCTGTTCCAACACCAGTAACACTTACATTCCTCATGTATGAAGCAACACACGTACCATCGATACATTCAGTAAGTCTATTGCCAACATAACATATATTTGAATGAATACTAGATTCCAAAAGATGATTGAGGCTTGTTTGTAAAGTTTCATAGGAAATATTAACTAAATAATAAATCCATTTATTTATAAACATTAAATCACAAATATCATATGATAAACATCTATATTCAATGTCACTAATGATAAAATCATTTTCTTTAACTAATGTAAATGATGTTTCAATACTAAAATAATTATATATATAATTTGTATCGTGATCAAATTCAACGATTATATAACCATTTATTTTATTGTAATTAATATGTATTCTAACATGACATATATAATTTTCTACAGATGAATAAATTGTTTTATTACTAAATTTTTCCAGTATATGTAATTTATTGTTTGAAGTAAATTCACTTCGTAGAATTTGAATTGAACTTCTATCAATACATTTAAGACTGTAACCATCTTGTATATGCTTTAGAACGAGTAGTAAGATAAGAAACATTTTATAAACTGACGTATCAATCTATCTATATATATATATATATGTTTTATTTTTTGACAAGTTAATGTTAAATATACATGAGAATATGTGAGAAAATATCATATCAAGAAAAAAACGTGATGACAACCAATGTCAATATTTTTTGCGTAAAAACAGCGTCTTAATCACAGCTCATGTACGTTTGATGCACACAGAACGAGTGCATCTGCAGATGCGTACGACTTAATAGAATCAAATTAAAAAAAAATAAATAATTTGTTTTAAGTTTGATCTAATATCTTCATCAATGTTCTATGCTGATAGTCTTTAACTCATCATAGGCAAACGAAATTTTAAACAAATAGTGTATCTATAATGATGGAAATTAAATTAAAACGATTTGAAATAATTATTAAAAAGCAAATTTACGTACTGTTAAGTCATATGTGACTAAAATCGTTATCATATGAAACAACTTATGTATCTATTGTAAATTCACATAATAGAAATTGATGCACGAATGAATTATTTTCTATTTGTATTGTATATGAATTAGAAGTACTTATCAATCTTTTCTGTTCTTCAGAATGGATAATAGATAAACTTTGATTATTTAAAAAATAAAATAAATGAAATTTTTCTCGCTATAAAATAAATGTTGATAAATTAAATAATAAAGAAAGCTGTTATCTCTTAAAACATGATGTTTTATATCCAATCAGATCGATCACAACAAAATTAAGTGTCATATATACAAAAGCAGTATATAGATATGAGTTTTTGAATATATCTCACCATGTATCATCAATTCGAAATGTTGATTAATATATGATGTTCTTATAATAAGTATTCGCCTATTTATCTGTCAAAGAAAAATAACAATCGTTCTTTTTTCTTTACTTTATATTAATTGCTTAAAAATAAACAACATATTTATATTCGAAAATCTGAATCAATTTTATTATGAGCATTTATATTTTCAAATACAAATATTAAGTTAAATGACTAGCAGTAGAAATTTATCTATTGAATCCAGGTCAATCATTCCCACCGTCTGAAAAGACGTCTTAAACAGCCTAAAACGGCGATGAAATAGCATGATTAATGTCTTAAACGATGAAAAATGACCGCCGTTTTCCGTCAGCTCGGATTATGGGCCATTTTTGCTCCCGAAATGTAAATGGTACCGTTTGAGGTCGTTTCGAACGAGTAACGATGATCACTACCAAGGTTGTCTTTTCGCCGTATTATCACTCTATTTATACGCTGTCTCAGAACGGGTTTCTCAGCTACCCTATAGACAATAAATGAACTTTTTTTATTTTAAAATAAAGGGTGTGGGTGTGAGTATTAGTACAAGACAATAACATACACCCAGACCCGCACCCCACACCCTCCAATAATTCTCTGGCTTCACTACTATATCATACACTCAATGACTTGTTTCTAAAACTACTAAGTACGCTGGTGATTTGTTGAGCATATATTTAAAAATAAAAACTTTATCGTTTTCAATTTCATCTTTCTTCGAAAACAATTCATCAGATACATAGATTTGCATACCGAGTCCCAATAAATCTCGACTAACTAACCTTTAATTAAACA